TGGATGTAATGTGATTGCAGTCCAAAACCAATGCAATCACATTACATTGCACTCTGCAATGTTCTTAAAGATAATTTTACCCTTCAACTTTATTATCTTATTAAAAATATTTTAATATTATAATTAAAATAAATATATAATATAGAATAAAAATTAAAATAAAAAAAATATAAAAAATTAATATTTATATAATATAGATAAAACAATTAAAATAAAATATATAATATAAAAAATATATTAAAGAAATGAAAATAAAATATATAAAATTATAATAATAAATAAAAATAAATATATGACATTAAAAATATATTTAAAATATGATATTATATATAAATTAATATATAAAATATAAATATATTAAAATAAATATAAATATTATAATAATAAATAAAAATAAAATATTGACATTAAAAATATATTTAAAATATGATATTATATAAAAATTAATAATATAAATATAAATATATTAAAAATAAAATATAAAATATTATAATAATAAATAAAAATAAAATATATGATATTAAAAATATATTTAAGAAATGATATTATATAAAAATTAATAATAAAAAATATAAATATATTAAACTTATATTTTAATAATTAGGGGTAATTTTGACAATTAGCATTACATTCTCACTAAAGTACTTGTAAACCAAACACTGTAATGTTATCTTCCCTACATTTAATCATTATTTTACTTACATACCAAACACTGTAATGTTATTTTCCCTGTAATCACATTGCTTGCAATCACATTACTTGCAATCACATTACCTATAATCACATTGCATTATAATGTACCAAACACCACCTAAATGTGAAAAGAGAGTATGAGAAGAGGCGTTAAGTTTTGTTTATGTTGAGTAGTAATTTTTAATTACTCTTTAAGGCAAATAGTTATTAATTATTCTGCCTTTTCTAGCAATAATTATTTCACGGCTTTTTGAAAAAACCGATTAGCAATCTACAAATTCTGGTTCAGCAATTAAGTCCAATTATTAATAGGTCTACTCGGCACATTTGGACCCAAACACAATGGGTTCGAGCATTCATTAGACTCAAGCCCACTCAGCACCATTTTTTAATGTACTTGAGAGTCCCAATCAGGTTAATTGAGACCAAAATGTAAACAGCGTGAGTGGCCCATTTAGGCCCAAAAACCCCTTAACTATATAGGCTAACTGACACACTCCAAAAAGCCCAATTTTAAAAAGATTGAGAATCTTGAAAAGCGAATAAAGAGTGGTAATGACAAGCAGTTGGAAATACAGCTTAAATTGTGTCAAAAAGTGAAGGTATGGATTGAAGATGGAAAAGATGTTCGTTTAGGGGACTGGAAATCGGCTGAAATTGAGATACTGAACACTTTTCAATTGCTTAGTGGCAAGCCCGTTGTTTATTTGGTTAACTTGAGTGAGAAAGATTACCAAAGAAAAAAGAACAAGTTGTTGCGAAAGATTAATGTTTGGGTGCAAAAACATGGTAATAAACAAATCATTCCGTTCAATGGCTTGTTCGAGAGAAATTTGGTTAATATGGAACCTGAACAAGTAGCAAAGCATTGTGAGGGAAACAAAGTAAAAAGTGCTCTCCCAAAGATCATCAAGACTGGTTTCTCTGCAATTAATCTCATATAGTTTTTTACAGCCGGCGCTGGTGAGGTGAAATACTGGCAAATTAGAAGGCAAACAAAGTCTCTTCAGGGTGCAGGAAGCATTCATTCTGATTTTGAGAAAGGATTTATTTGTGCCGAGATCATGAAATTTGAAGATCTGAAGGAGCTTGGAAGTGTGTTGGCTGTTAAGGCTGCTGGAAAATATCGACGGGAGGGGAATATGTACGTGGTTCAAGATGGAGATATAATACTTTTTAAGTTCAGTGTTTCCGGGAAAAGGAAGAAGTGAGATATGCAATTTGTTAGGACCCGACCGATTGGGCAGTTTGTTATGCATTTATTGTTTGATCTATGAGCTTTATTATCTTTCTTGGCATAGGATTTTTCAAGTTCTATTATAATTTTGTAGAAACTTATAACCTTTGCTCCAATGCATCATCACTTACTAGCGTAACCTAAAACTTTGCAGAAAGCCAAGTCTTTTGAAGGCTTGACATACGTTGATTGATGTTGCAAAAAATAGCTATCAGGTTTTCCTTTGTAAAACTTTTCTCTCTTAAGAAGTTTCACTTCTGTTTTGGTGGAATTTCCTTTTGTTGTTGCTTTTGTCCTGCTGATGCTGGTTTAGGAGGATTTTGGGATTTCCTTGTTTTTTATGCTGGTTGGTTTTTTGAATTTTGATGTGTTTTGTGGTATGGATGCTAAGATTAAGGCCCTGCTGTTGCTTTTGCATTTTCCTGGGGTTTGATGCTTGCTGTTTGTGCTCATGAGGTTCTTGGATCTGTGGTGCTCCCTTCTCTTGCGTGGAGGGTGACTTAGAGGGGCTGCTTCATCCTTGGGATACATGAGTTGATCAGCTTTGTAGGATTATTCTGGTAGTTATTATTTCACATAGCTTGGCCACTTTCTATTGCGGTTGGAGTGCCTGGGTTTAGGAACTTTTATGTTTGCTGCATTCTTCTTCTTGTGGTGTATTTTCGGTGAAGGTGGGCATGTTATAACTTTGTGTGGATGGGGTGTATAGATGGTAGCCTTTTTGTTCTTTTGTATACAATATTCAAGAACACATAGTCAGCTGGACAAAATTACAATACAGCAAGTTCATGAGCAACAAGCATATGGACACAGCCGCATCAGGGGTCAATCTTCATTCAAGACCAGGCACATCCTCAATTTGGAAACATGATAAAATAAACAAAAAGCAGATAAACAGAGTCAGCCGAAACTCCCATGTTTCCAAAATCCAACAACTCAAGTACCAAGTTCCTTTCCTACTTTACTTTATCATCCTCTATTTCTTCTTCAAGCTCCATGTTCAGCTCTTCTAAATATATTGTTTGTTTTCCTTGCTCAATTTACTACTGTTTTAATTTTTTTCCTTTATCCTTTTCCCATCTATTATCTTTTGTGAGATGTTGTCATGAATCCAAATTGTGAATTAGTTCCAAAAAACTATGGATGAAGTGATGAACATCTTATGCATTGTACAAAGCTTTGGAAATTGCCCTTAGTACACACACACACACACACACACATATATATATATATATTAAATGCAAAGTATGTAGATTCTCATGACCATGAACACCTTTGACATCAACACTTAAAAAATGATCATCATCCTCCAATTTCCTGAGGCAATTCGAAAATATTTTTGGTCACCAAATTTGAGTTCGGGTCCATCTTAATTGATTGAAAGACACCACAATGAATGAATATTAAAAACTTGAAAGTTAAGGTGGCCTTATGGATGAATAATTAGTAAGGTCCTGAAGAAGTAGAACAAGACGAATACCTTGCATGAGGAATTCCATGGCATATTACTTCATTAACTGACCTGGAAAGAAAAGTCTAACATCTGTTATGTGGTTGTTAAGGGGCAAAGAGATTTGTGTTTAATTATTCTTGGTCCTAGGCAAGTTTTGTTCGATTAATTTCTTTGTTGTTGTAAGGTGCTTCGTTGCTATAACATAGGAAAGTTTCTTCTTTCCCTATAACGGATTCTTACATAAATAAATTCAAGGCTTATCTACGAAAAAGAAATGAAATGGATTTGCTTAATCAACATATAAATCTCAGAAATTAAAATGAAAAATATGTACAGAAGAAGTAGCCACGTGCAGCTAGATTTTGGAGAGAAATATGATAATTGAGAGGAGATGGGTATCCTCCGGCAAAGGAAGACGCATGTACAGAGTGAAACCAGAGAAAAGACAGACGACCATTGATAAATTGTTACGCCAGGACGGATCATCCGCGCTGCAGCATCCAAACCTCCCTTGCAATCTGACAATAGGAATATCAACACAAAGACATTTTAAAATTACTCAACAAAATATAAAATCGGTTTGAAGCTCCTCTGTATATTAGATATAAGCTAATAAATCTCGAACTGTTTCTAGCACAAACCGCAATGAACATTTGACCAAGCAAGCCATGACATAAAAGTAATAATTACTGTCTTTGAGCTTTATTTTGCTCTTTTTTGGGTATACAAGACAAAAAGGCTTGATGTTATATGTATTTGAGTGGCTGATCTGCTTTGCATTTGCCAATCAATGTACGGAAAATATACTCATCACCCGTAGTTCTGCTGATTAAATAGTTAACTACTTAATGGGGATCGTAAAGATCATCCAAGTTGTGAATGTAGTTCACAGGTAACAAAATTTATGTATTAATGTAGAAATTTTGTAAAGGGGAGGGCCAAAAAGGAATTCCACCTTTTATTATGGCTGAGAGAAGGGTGAATCGTGGGACCTACAATTGCTTATGGTGGCAACTATTTTTCAGGCATGATAACAGCCCTGAATTATAAAAATTCCATAAATGCCGGCATCTATATAATTAGGGGAAGCCAAACTACTACAATTTCCTGGGTTCTTCTGGTTATATAAATAATGGGTAATCAGTTGTGAGAAGGGGGCATCATATATCCATTGCGTTAGGCGTTTCACGTCATCAACTGCAATACCAGAATGGGGTTCTTGCCACCTCATCACCAGCGAGCTTTCGTGTTTGGTCTCTCGGCCATAAGCAATGTTCTGGTCTTTTCAAAAGTTGAATTATTTTTTTAGTTCACTTCATAAAAAGGTGGCTTGAATTTTGTGGAGGTTTCTTCATCATTTAGTCAACTTCCTCTCTACACCCATCTTTCCTAACAAAATTAGGTTAAAACAAACTAAAACAAGTGGAGATAAATTAAGAAAAAAAAATTTTAACTTTGGCTCAGTTGAGGGAAAGCAACATTCTTCTTCCTTAGCTCATTGTAATGTCTTTCCCTTTGGCTTCCCTTGAACCAAATGCCCCCTGATTAGCTGATTGCCAAATTAGGTCATAAACTAATTAATTTTTTAAGCTCAAAAAATTAAAATAAATAAGGACATTAAGTCTGAATAAACCGTTTCATTAAATTGAAACATCTAGTCAGTCAACCGCTACAAATGTGTTGGGCAGTTGGCTATGTGGAATAAAGTCACTAATCCACAAGGTAGATAACTCCTATACAAGTGCAAAAGAAAATTAACTAAAAAGCAAACACTGGAGACCTGAAATGCAAGGCTATTAAAAGTCTGAAAACAAATACAACCTAAACAGAAAATAAAAGAGTCACGTTAATCAGTAGCACGTGACTGTCTTCTTCACTTTATGATCCTGCTTGGCGGCAAGCTCTGCAGAATCAAAAACCAAATATTTCAACAGCATATCAAAGCAAAAATCACTTCACTTCATATCCCTTACTAATAAAAAAAGAGCATAACTTCCTATTTTTATTGGAAAACACTAATAAGATCCATCAAAAACGAATGCATCCTTAAAATACTATCTAAAGATATAGTTGTAAGAAATTTGAAAAAATAATCACAATCATATAAGTATTTATTGAAATGCAATTCTTACTCATAATTTCAAATTAAACATTACCAAAGTTATTATAAAAAAAATCCACAAAACCAAATTACATACAACTTGATAAAAAATTAAATAACAAACAGCTCCGACTTACCTCAAGTAGTAACAGGCTTAATCCTACACTCTAGCACCTCATGAACTCGAATGCCACGAACATACAAACCTTGAAAGGTTTCAATCTTTCCATTGTCAACATCTTTGGCCTTGAAAGTGAGATAAAACTTAGCACCAGAACAAACTTGTACATTTGCCTTAAGAAGCTCTAAAAACTTGAAATTTGTATGCTGCACGTAAACCAATAAAAATATCTTTTAACCAATGTATCAAGTATAGATTTAATGTGATAGCAAAAGGAGAAAACATACATTTTGGTCATTGAAGTAGCCTATAGTCTTCTCTGCATATGGAGTTAAATCCTCGTGCTCAGCCTGAACAAGTTTTACCGGAATAATCAAACCGATCGCAAAACCAGGATAAACATCAACATCATAGCCCTGTAACAATATAATCAAGTCAAAAAAAAAAAACAAAAACACTAAATTTGAGAAAAAGAACAAAAATGTAGAAAATTGGCTCATACCCCAGTGGCTCCCACTTGTGCACTATATTTCCTCATGTTCTCGGTACTCATCTCTGCTTCACCATAATATAACACATCTAATCTGGCCATTTCTTCTTCGGTATATGAAGCCATTGAAAAGAATTCAAAAATCCTAACAAAATATTGCAAAATCAAAATCAAATTAATGAGAAAAAAAAAAGTGAAAGGTCAAAAGTAGATGTAAAGGAAGTAGAAACAAAATGAAATCAATTAAATAAACTTTAGTCGCACAACATAACTGACGTTTTGAACATTTTTTCAGATAGCCAAACAAGCTCCACATAACCAAAAAGTTTAAAGAAAACCACGCATTAGAAAAAATTTCCTGATATCAAATCCATTATATTAAAATTAGATTATCAAAAAAACGATTTAATTTTTAGGTAAATAATGTTAGGATTAATAAGCAATTGAAAGATTAACAAAAAAAATTAACGCAGATCAGAACGAAATCATCACAAAAATACTTAATCATCAAGAGAATATACCTGATTGGGAGCTTTACGCAAGACAAATCACTTCGAGAGCGTCAACAAAGGCAAGCTCTATGTATAGCCCTTGACAAAAACCTAAACTTGAACGACCACGGAAGAAAAACGCGAGAATCACTCTAGTATATATATAGAATAGTACATATGTAAGGGTAGTAATATAGAGTAAAAATAGGGAAGGTTTTCCTTCTTCTGTGGGAAAATATCAGGGTATTTTAGTAATTGGAAAGCGAGGCCAAATCGGTTCCTTTTTGTACTGTAAACAAACCACCTTGACCCAATCCTATTTTAATTTTTATTAGGACTCGGAAGGTTCGGCCAGGCGGATGGAATTGCAACCCATTAAATCCACGTGATCAACCCGTTTTTGCAAATTCAAACTTGATGTTTTATTTTTAAATTAGTATTTGTATAAATTAATGATTTCTAGTCACTTTTTAGGGCAAATAGTTATTAATTATTTCAGGGCTTTTTGAAAAAACCTATTAATAATCTATAAGTTCTAGTTTAGGCTCCTTTTCGCAGTCCAATAAATACAATTAAGTCCAATTATTAATAGGTCTACTCGGCACATTTAGACCCAAACACAATGGGTTCGAGCATTCATTAGACTCAAGCCCACTCAGCACCATTTTTTAATGTACTTGAGAGTCCCAATCAGGTTAATTGAGACCAAAATGTAAACAGCGTGAGTGGCCCATTTAGGCCCACAAAACCCTTAACTATGTAGGCTAACTGACACACTCCAAAAAGCCCAATTTTAAATCCGAATCTCATACCCTTATTAAGTCCTATTAAAATGTCTAACTATGGAAGTATTAGATATGAAGGTATCATAGATGTAATGTCTAACTATAATATCAAAATTTAAGTAATTTAATTTGAACTTTATATTCACATCTAAAAATATGAAATCAATATTATAATTGAAACATAGATACGAAGGTTATGCCCGATCTAATTTGCTCTTAAGCTTGTTGGGAAGCTAATAATTATCATAACAAACAATCTAGGCCCATGAAGAGAAATCTCTCATATCCCCTTTTGATCACTCAAAATTTTCCTCTACTTGAAATGTTCTTGATAGGCCTTTAATGGAGGAAAAGTTTTGAGGCCAAAGATGTTCAAACATTGCAAAGTAGGGGTCGCCTAATGTGCTTACAATTTTAAGCCACTGCAAAAGGAAACCTACTTGAATACTAAAATAAAAATGCTCTCAAAAGTCTATGGATAACTTCTCTTTATGCAGGGGACTAATTAATTTTGAGAGAATTTCAATTTTCGATTCAATAATAATTATATATTTAGCTAATTAGACATGATATTTTTTATTTTTTTATGCACTTGACATATAACATGTCTTAATAATACGACCATGCGACTCTTATTATATGAACAGAAAATAATAAATAATATTAAGTTTGACGATTGTTAATTTTATATTAAAATTAAAAACTTGTGTAAATATAAATAAGGCGAAGATATAGGGTAATACAAAACAAACATAGTCCATGAAGAGAGTGAAGGAAGTGGTGGGCAAAATCCTAAAATTAGAATCATTCAATCTTATCTTAAACCTTGCCTAATTGAAAATAGAAAAAAAAAGAATTAATTAATGAATTTAAGTGACTATCAAGCATCAAGTTTTTATTTAGTAGCAAAGTTTTCTTTTTTGTAGCAAATTTTTCTTTATTGTAACAATGTATATATAGAAAACTTCTTAATAATGATTAAACTTCATTCAACCATATAAAAATAGAAAACCCCTTCATTTCACTTTTGCCAACTTATATTTTCTATTCTTTATTTTGATTCAAATTTGCAAGCCAAATGGCTCATCTTTAGCTTTCTTTATATTCTTACTGCTCCGATCTCGTTTTAACTTAACCAATTTATTATTTTCAGTAAGTTACATGGAAACAACTTTTATTGGAACTCATTTGTCAATCATTGAAAAGTATTCAATATCTTAATGTCAACCACTTTCCAATCACATAGACGAGTATCTTTTCCATCTTCAACCCATGCCTTGCCCTTTTAACACAATTCAGGCTCTATTTTAATTGCTCGACATTACTTCTCTTAATGCTATTGTCGACATCTTTATCTTCATTTTAAAAAATTTAACATTTTTTAACTGTAATTTTGCACTAATGGTCTCTAAATCCTTTCCAGGATCTACAAAATTATCAACATGGATAATGTTTGAATCTTCAAATGCACCTAAAACATAAAAAATACCAACAACTGCATGAATATGAGAGAAGAAGTGTAGCCTAATCTTTGCCGCATCTCTAACCAGCAAGCTATATCATGAATTTCTAAGAAAGTTGAAACCTCATTTTTGAGCTTGTATAATTGGTACAACCATTGAAAGCACACTGACTACACCTCATTAGACTCAATGGTACAAAAAGGAAAATTCTCAAAGCTTTGTGAGGGTACAGACATATAGCAATCTCTTTTTCTCTAGCCCTTTCTTCTTTGGTATCTTTTGGGTAGGTATCTTCTGACTCAGTATCTTAGAGGTATGATACCATTGAAAAGAATTCAAGAATCTTAGCAAAATATTACAAAATGAAATTAATGAGAATAAATAAAAGAGTGAAAGGATAAAAGTAAATATAAAGGAAGTAGAAACAAAAAAAAAAATCAATTGATTAAACCTTGAACATATCTGTTATCTGCAAATTTAATGATTTAATGCTCAAAGAAGAATATAGTGGTTCAATATAAGAATGCGCATGATTTGAGTTTCTAAACGTAAAGAAAAAGAATACAAACATTAGAATTTAATATCAAATATCAAATAAAGATAAAAGAAAGTGAAGGAAAACCACAAACGTATTCATAGGTTTAGCTTAAGGAAAGGAAAAGCACAGAGAAAAAAAAGTTAAAATATGCTTTTAGGCTTGATACTCTACAAAAATGATATATTTAATCCATGTACAATAATTTATGTAAATTGAACCTATGCACTTATCAAATTGTTAATATCAATTTAAATCTTAATATTATTAAAATTTTATCATTAAATTTGTTAACGTGACATTTAATCAAATTGATGCAACACTTACTGATTTGATGAAAAATACTGATGTGGACTATATCTATTTTTCAAGATCACTGCAATTCAAAACTTTTACCTTCTCCATCTGAAAAAGAAAATGAAAAAAAGAAAGCAAATTCTTAATTTAAGGAATTTTAACTTTCAACCAATAATCATATACACTTGTACCAATGTTTTATCTTTCTCTGACAGTTTTCGTTGTTTAGATTTATTTGGTTTGATGACTGAACTGTTTTTGTCACCCAGACCCTGCTTATCATAGGTATATCCCCTTAATTTGCCAAGCCATAAGAATTAATCAAATCATGTACGATGTTCTTCTCTTTCAATAACAACCATTTTACCCTCACGAAGTTCCAACTCTAGCAAGCAACTCTTCAGTGTTCCGATGGATGTTTCTACGAGTTCATCCACAAAGTATGAAACAAAGATGTTGCTTACACCTCTCTCTTGGGCCGGTTTCGAGTACGTGTTCTTGCACTGTTTCCTCCTAATAAGAAATATCATCATCATCGTCTTCGTCATCATCATCTGCTTGGTAAGAACAATACTTGGAATAAGGGAATTGCCTAAAGCAGAAGATGAGACTTTGAAAAGGCACGATTTTTAGATATTTTATTACATCTTCGAGGAAGTCTTTGCTAAGACTATCGGCAATCTTGATAGAAGTGAAGATGGCAACAACGAGGAGATATGTTAGGACCCGTACGTGCCACCACCGCCAACCCTCTCTGTTTACGGTGATACCCGTCGCTGGAGAATGCAACAATCGGCAGAGTTGGCACGTGCAGAGGCCTGGAGGATGCACTTCCGATTGGGTGACAGAGAGGGAGTAAGGGTGAGAATGAGCTGATGATGGTGGTGATGAAGAGGGTTTCGGTGGAGTTTTTTTATACGTTTTGAAGTGAGATAAGGCCGTGTTTGGTTTTTTACTAGTAGAATTACATTACTATTTTGTAATTTTTTCTGTTTCTTTTTGTAAATTGTACATTCATTAACAAATTATTAATACAAAAAGCTTAACAATTGTTTCTGTTTTTTTTTTTTTACTTATTCTTAGCTCATGCTACCTAGTTAACTTTGGGATCAAGGAGGACAAAGGGATTGACCTTGAGGTGCAGGTTGAGGAATGTGAGGCAGCAGAGACCACTGAGGAAGTTGCAGAGGAAAATGGTGAGCACAAAATAAATACGGATGTGGTAGATATTGAATGTCAATAAATTAAAATTACATAAACACAGGACTTAATAAAAAATTAAATAAAAACCATTATTTCTCATTGTAATAAATTAAATAACAAACACCATAATTGAATTACCTCAAGAAGTAGTAGGCTTAATCCTACACTCTTGGACCACTTCGTTAGGCTCACGATTTTTCCCTGGAATGCCTATCCAATACTTTCCTTGAAAAGTTTCAATTTTTCCGTTGTCAACATCTTCGGCCTTAAAAGTAAGATAATACTTGCCACCACAACAAGCTCTACAAACTTGAAATTTGCATGCTGCAAGTATACCAACAAAAATATCTTTTTAATTTTGTAAAGAACACATAACAAGTATTGATTTAAAATGATAATAAAAGGAGTAAATGTACATGTTGTTCATTGAAGTAGGCTATAGCCTTCTCTGCATATGGAGTAAGAATCTCGTAATCAGCCTGATTGAGTTGTAAAGGAATAATCAAACCGATCGCAAAACCAGGGAACTCATCAACATCGTAGCCCTGTAACAAATTAATCAAGTTAATTACAAAATCAAAACACTAAATTCGAAAAATGAACAAAAATTAGAAAATTGGCACATAACTCACTGGCGCTCACGTGTGCACTATATTTCCTCATGTTTTCCCTACTCATGTCTGCTTCACCATGGTATAATTCCTCCTCTCTGGCCTCTTCTTCTTCTTCTCTCGCCCTCTCCTCCTCTTCGGTGTCTTCTGATTCGTTATTTTCTTATTCTTGGTAAGTAACTTTTGGGTAGATGTTTTCTAGGCGTGAAGCCATTGAAACGAATTCAAGAATCCTAACAAAATATTATAAAATCAAATTAATGAGAAGAAATAAAAGAGTGAAAGAATAAAAGTAGATATAAAGGAAGTAAAAATCAACTAAGTAAACTTTGGGTGGAGCTGTTAGCTGCAAATTTAATGATTACTCGACGAATGTAGTGGTTCAAAGTTAATTAAATATATGCATATAATCGTTAATAGGTTCATTAGAATTTAAAATCAAATATCAAATAAACATGAAAAGAAAAGTGGACGAGAACCACAAGGATCTTTCAAAGATCAATGAATAACTGACTAACATCAATCATATGACTGTTTACACTTTTCAAAAAAAAAATCATATGTTTATTTAGGATCAAACTTTATGATCAATGTCAAAATCAAAGCATATTGCATTAATTCAAAATCAAATCACAATGAAATCCAACTTTTAAGCAACCAAAATATGAAAATTGAGATAAATTTCGCAAACTCTTTCCTAAAATCCCAACATTGTTCAAAATTAAAAAATCTTTCAAAAATCCATGAACAAATAACTAACATCAATCAAAAACCCAAAATTCAAGAATTTTTCAAAAATCTATGAACTAGTAACTAATATCAATCATACGACTGTTTATGGTCAAACTTGATGATCAATTTCAAAATCAAAGTCTGCTATCAAAGATAAACATCGATTGCATTGATTCAAAATCAGATTATCACAATGAAAATTAAATTTTTGAGCAACCCAATGTCTCGATTCATACACAACCGAAATATAAGACCAAAATCAATCGTGTACACCTAATTGATTGGTAAAGCAGATCAAATAAGAGATATACCAAAAACCTGATTGGGAAGAAGCGAAGAGCGGACTGCAGTTGCGGTAAGGAAAACCTGTTTTGGCAATGGCAAAACTCTCATATGAATAAAGTTAAAAGGTTTAAAAAGCTTCTGAGCCTATCAATCCAAAACTAAAACCAATCCGGTGCAGCCAGACCCAAATAACTTAATAAATCTTCCCCTGAGTAATTAATAAAATAAATATTTGTGATTGTAATGGATCCTTACCTGAATTTTAAAAGCACGTGTTTAATTTTGTATCTTCCTCTAGTTTATTGCTCAAAAAGTTTATCTCGATTGTGCAATGATTAAAGGTTAAGATTACTTACTCATATTTTTTAAACTCTTTGATTTACATGAAATGTTGGTAAATTTTTCATCTGGAAATTGATTTTGTTTTTATAATAGACATTTTAAAATTTGCATGAGAAATTGAAAACCCTTATAACACTTCTTATAATAAAATCAATCAACAATATAAATTTTCATTCGAATATATTATAAGTACAAATAGCAAAGTTTACAAATAGCTAAGTTTTTGTGTAAAGTAATTTCTGAACATAAGTAACAAATTGCATGATTTGCATCGAATATTTGACTCATTGTAAAATGCATGATTTTTTGTTTAAAGACTTAAATTGTACAAGAAAGAATGATTATAGTTCTAAGAAATTTGAAAAAGTAATCATACCCATACAAGTATTTTTTGAAATTCAATTCTTACTTGTAATTGCTAATTCAAGAATCCTAACAAAATATTAAGAAATCAATTAAGTAAACTTTAGTCTCATAACATAACTGACGTTTTGAATATCAAAAGGTAATCAAGATTTTTACAATCACAAAGTTTAAAGAAAATCACGCATAAAAAATAATGCCTACTATCAAATTCACCAAGGTTATCACAAAAACAATTAAAGTTTTAAACAAATACAGTCAAGATTGAAACACAACTGAAAGATCAGAACAAAATCATCGCAAAGACCCTTAATCATCAAGAAAATCAAGAACGGGATATACCAAAGACCTGGTTGGGAAGGTAGAGATGAAGGCTTTAAATTCTCATGACAAAACCTGTTTGGCAAAGGCAAAAGGTTGGGTAATAATTTAATTAATTTTTCCAATTAAAGATTTCATCAACTTTTGAGCCCATCAATCCAAAACCAGTCCACCATCGCAAGGCCCAAATGACTTCTACTCTGTATTTCTTTTCAGGCACCAAAACGGCGCGCTGCGCAAGTGTTCCAGTGCGAGGACTTAATCTTCAACCAACTAATCTAATCCATTTTCGAGCTCATTCTCTGTCTGCCTGTCTGGAATCTTCTTCGATTGTTTCAAAGAGCAAGCAGATTCACTTCATTTCTCTTTACCACCAGTTTGCTTCAGATCTTCTCTCCGTAAGTAGCTATTCTAACAAATTTTGGGATTGGTCCTTGCTTAAATTTTGAAACAATACAGAAAAAAAGTCAAATCAAACTGTAGCCCCAAGTTTTGTGAAGCTCAGTTGAGTTTATTTGGTGTTTGAATCTAATTGAATATCTGGGATCTTGGTTATTTCCTTTATTGCGGAAAGATTCTTGCCGTTTGATCAATTTATGTGCTGATTGATGTTTGTTGTAATATGGGTGTGCAGAATTTCTGAGAAGTCGTCTTTGGGTAGTGAATATTAGTAATGGAGGATGTTAAGGAGGAGCCAAGTCAATCCCATGGTAATTTTTCAAGCTATAACATTTCTTTCTGGATATTGGATTCTTTGAATTTTTGGTGAAGCACTTCTCGGAATTTGGAAATGTTTGTTATTCATAAATTTAACTTTTTTATCCGAAGTGATAGGGTTCCCGTTGCATTGTATCAATGTTTTCTCTTTGAATGACAGTTTTCGTTTTGTAGATTTATTTTCCAATGGTTTGATCACTGAGTTGGTTCTGTGTATTATATCAATAATGTTCTTCATTTTAGTTTTTAATACTTACTTCATAGGTATCATGTTATGTTCTTCACAGGTCAAGATGATGAGAATGAAATTGTCACTGAAAATACTGCATTTGTGCATGGGGAACCACCTCAAGATGCTAGTGGACCTCCAAAAGTTGATTCTGAGGTGGAAATTTTACATGAAAAAGTAACAAGGCAAATCATTAAGGAAGGGAATGGTCAGAAGCCATCAAAGTATTCAACTTGCTTCTGTAAGTACCTGAAACTTGTGAATTGTTGCTTCTTATCTCTCTTTGGCCATACCTTTTGTTGATTATATGAAAAGCTGAATTTTTTTTATTACAAACAATCGCCAATTATTGGTATAAAACCAACATTTGTTATGGTTTGATCTGGTCTAACTTTTAGTATAATGTTTGGTGTTGATTACACCTTCACTGCCTCCAACTGAATGCATGAATCTTGTATCTGGGCTTTCTTCCAGCATTTTGTTGAAGCTATACTAATGAGTAGTCATTATCCTACTAACTTGAGGTTATATTACATGTAAGTCAGTGGTGGGATTGATGGAGACAGCTTAACGGACTTTGGTTAGTTTTAACTGAGCTTAGAGTGTAATGTCACTGGCTAACCATGGCAATTTAGTCATGTACTAGTTGATGAGAAACTTTGCCGGTTCTTTTAATTTAGAACATTAACAGAGCAAATGCTACTCTGGTAATCGTAGATGTTTAATCCAATAATTAATGTTGAACTTCTACTGCTATTTTCTTTGCAAAGTTGTTACTTAGAAGTCTCATGGGAGGTCAAGGAGTTTTGTTGTTTCTGTTATGTATCCTATACATCTGAGTAACTTCAAATATGAAATAGTGCACTACAGGGGATGGGCTGAAAGCACCCAGCATAAATTTGAAGACACATGGCATGAACAACAACCACTTGAAATGGTTTTAGGAAAAGGTATCTGTTTGTTTTTTCTCTTTTCCTTTTCATTTATATGGTTAAAATACATATTGACTGTTGTTTCAGACGTGTTTACCTGGAACCGTTTATATAACTAATCATGATAAGTAACTGCTTTAATGGTGTCTTGTCTATTGGGCATCTTATCAAATCTTAATGGTTTACGGTGGTGGCAGAGAAAAAAGAAATGACTGGTTTGGCTATTGGTGTCTCAAGCATGAAGTCGGGTGAACGTGCGCTGTTACATGTGGGATGGGAATTAGGTTATGGAAAAGAAGGAAGTTTTTCTTTCCCGAATGTTCCACCTATGGCAGACTTATTATATGAGGTTGAGCTTATTGGTTTTGATGAAACTAAAGAAGTAAGTTGCTCTCTTGTGGTTTTACAAGAAAGCCAAGTAATTTTACATGTGGATCTTTAAACTGTTTAAATCAGCTTTTTCCATATGATGCTAATGAAATGCATCTCTTGGTGAGGCACTATTTCAATAGGGAAAAGCTCGTGGTGACATGACTGTAGAGGAAAGGATTGGTGCAGCTGATCGAAGAAAGATGGACGGGAATGCTTTATTTAAGGATGATAAGCTAGAGGAGGCCATGCAACAGTATGAAATGGTTACACACTTCTGTTCCTTAAATACTAGCATCTGACATCATACCAATTTTTCTTTTTTTATTCTCTTTCTTAGTTATTTTGGCTAGTTCTTGTGGTTACTCCGCTCTTTTTCTCACGCTAGGCCATAGCATATATGGGTGATGACTTTATGTTCCAGTTATTTGGGAAGTATAGAGACATGGCTTTAGCTGTCAAAAATCCATGTCATCTCAACATGGCAGCTTGTCTGATAAAGCTCAAGCGCTATGAAGAAGCCATTGGACAGTGCTCCATGGTAAGCACACATTCCAGCTGACAACATCCCTTTTCTATTTAAATATCTTCTGAAAGTTTGCTGTACTGTAATTTTGCACGTCACCATGTATAGGTTTGTATGGAAATCTTGAAAAATGCAGGCTTAGTTATCTGTAATTGTCTCCAAAGGTTTGATCCTTGTTTTGCTGGACTGTGAACGAGAAAGCGATTAACTTGTATGGGCTCAGTTCATTTCTTGGAAAGAATTGGTGTAATAAATTAGATTGCTGGTATTTTCCATCTTTTTTCTTTCATACTTCCAAGAGAGTGACTTTAGGTCTTTTGTGTCTCAATCTGGTTTTTAGGAAATTAACAGCTGTTATGAAGCAGCTTGTGTAATGATTTTATTGGCTTGGTTGAGTTGGATGTAATATAGTAAAGCACATTTAAACCTAGACAAATGTATATGTCTTTAGCTTAGTGGCTTCTTACAACACTCGGCCACTTCAATTGAAATTCCACTGCTTGAATGTATATGTCTTTTGTTGAGTGGCTTCTTCCACACTTGGCCAGTTTATTTCTTTGTGATACTTGGATTGAAATTCATCTGCATGTTTGTGGACGTGATTTTTGGTTTTTTAACAAGATCCTCACTTGGCTCTCAGGTATTGGCAGAAGATGAAAACAATGTGAAAGCTATGTTCAGACGAGGAAAGGCCAGAGCGGAACTTGGGCAAACAGATGCTGCACGGGAAGACTTTCTAAAGGCTCGCAAATATGCACCTCAAGACAAAGCAATTGCAAGGGAGTTGCGCCTGCTTGCAGAACATGACAAGGCTATATACCAGAAGCAAAAAGAGTTTTATAAAGGAATTTTTGGACCAAGACCTGAACCTGAACCCAAGAGAACCAATTGGCTAATCCTCTTGTGGCAATGGCTTGTGTCACTATTCTATCGCATCATCAGGCGTGAAAGAGTCAAAGCTGATTAATTTAAGCTCCGAATTACCAAAAACGAATACTTAAATCTAAGCTGCCAATTATTTTGTGAGTTATTGCAGCTCTAGTTGACTTTCTGCTTTGACATGTTAGATGTTTCTGTTGATGTTGAATATGACTCTGCTACATGTTTCAGTGCTAATACACGCTTTTCTGAAACTCACCAATGCATGCGGATATGTGCATGGAATAATCTTCCTTCCTAATGTTCAAAGAGATTTAGTTACTTTTTTTGTCATTCTTCTCAGGGGAGCTGATATCTCTGTAATAGGCATTTGCAACTGCACTTTTTTTGCATTGCTGAGTGCAGACTCTTTGTGCCTTGATCTCTAAAGAAAGCAATGCATTGAGGTTTTCATGATTGTACACAAAGGCAAATGACCTGTGAAGGTGAATTCAGCCATTGAATTGAATTAAAGTTATTTCTCCATTTCCCATTCCTTTAATGAATGAAAAAGAAGAAGCTGATAGTGGATATTCTATAATATCTGCTTGTCAAGCTTGTTAAACAATAGTAGTATATTATGTACACCTCCAGACATGGCAGAATCCAAATTGCAATGAAAAAAAAAAGGAGAAAGTGATCAACAACAGTATCCCATTTCAACTTTGAGATGAAACCAGATCTCCGATCCATCCTTAAAAGGCAAAAAATTTAAAACCCAGAAAGCTGAAAGTGTCTACCATGATTGTCTGGGCATGGACATCCAAGCAACGTAAGCACAAACAATCTTTTGAGACATATACACATACACAGCAAATGACAAACTCATTAACATCACATCTTTCCAGTCACCCTTCCGTTGTGGGCTCATATTTTCCTTCAATCCTCTGCCAAACTTCTGCACACCAGTGAAAACTAGTGCAAACAACTGCCTCTTCTCATCCTTTTCTTTCTTTGCTTTTGTCATCGATCTCTCTATTGGTTCATTGTTTTGACAAGATAAAACAATGAGAATTCTGGGACAGTTCCTGGTCCTGCTCCTACTTTTCAGTTCTTGGGCTGAACTGCTCTTGTAGTAGAAAGAATGATGCACAGAGAGAGCTGCCAATGCCATTGATGTGAACAGAAAAAACTCTGAATGCAGAAGTATACAAGATTGGTTTTGATCATGGGTGCCTTTGAGACAGCAAAAGAAGTTGTGTTTGACCAAACTTTTGGGAAAAGATAAGCAGTCAGTGTCGATGTAATAATGCAAGAAAATATCTTCCATGGGAAAGCAAATGTTTACCTTAGAAAAACGGATAAGACTCTGTTTGGTCGGGTGGGACAAGCAACCGAAGGAATTCATTTCATCTTTCAGGTTATGCTTAGGCTGATTTTGGGCTTCTGGCCCTTTTGTACGTGTCTTGGTCCATTCCATAGAAAACTTTTACTTCTTATTGGGCTCTTTTTCTTTTAAGATTTAATATTTATCAAATTTTTTTAAAAAAAATTTATTAAATGCTTTGCTCATATTATAATTTTTTTATTTTATTTAATAAATTATTAATAATAAAATTAAAAAAATTAAAATTTATATTTTTTAAGAATTACTTTCACTTTTGTTAGTTTTATAATCTGTATTTATTAATTTTTATCATCGATTTTTCTTAAATTGATAAAATTGATAAAATTCAAATTCTTATTTAAATAAATAATAAATTATTTAATTAAAAAACCAAGAAAAATAAAAATAAAAAATGAGATCATTGCATTGACTCAAGTTTATGGGCAATGAGATGAGATTTCTTCTTAATCTCCTGGCCCAAGTCTTTTGACTGTGGGTCTCACCTGTACCATCACAACTTACACGTGCACTTCTGTTTTAGTATTTCATCTAACTTCGCAAGGAGCCCACTTCGATCTGACGGCTGTTAGCCACTCCCATAACAAGAGTCAACAAGTAAATTTAATGACGTCAAAAGCTTCAGCATGAGTCAAACCCATTTTCTCCTTCCTACGTGGAACAGCAAATTGATCAAAAAAGTGCATCCAGGAAGAAACTCGCCATGATTCTCGAACACGTGTCCAGATCAGTCAAATTCCGACACGTGTCTGAAAATCTCGGCGAGTATCAGATTTCATGTACACCAACAAGTGTCAGAACTTTGGAAGACAAAGCCGCAGACTGTGCACACTCAGCTGCCATTAATGGCCAATAGCTAAATCTTATTTAAAAAAGCTTTCAGGTTACTCCCAAAGAAAGTAGTCAGTGACAGCACTGGAACCAATCACAACGAGCCACCTGTAGCATTGAGGATAAAATAGTCCACCTACTTTTTCTTGTCAAGAGATACTCAGCTTGATTGCTGAAGGACGTGGTTTTCTGTTGAATATTTCAAGGCACTAATAGACCTACAAATTCAATTAAAACATTGTATTTAGGTTTGCTTTCGAAGCAATATCTTAAATTAATATAATAATAACAATCATTATGGTAACATTAAGATTACCATAAATGATTATATTAAACAAATAATGTTTTTACACCAAATAAAACTATGATTTAAAAATAGCACTTTAACATACCATTTTCAATAGAAAAGATTTCTCCAATAATTACTATTCATTATTGACGGATTTTTAATAAAATATTTTTGAAATTTTTTAATGATATATCTAATTAATAAAAAGTTATGAAAATCGATCAAGGTATAGCCCAAATTAAATAAGTTGATAACAAAATTTTTTAAGAAAACTTCTATAAATAATGAGTTCTTACCAACCTTTAGTCGTAATGGAACACAAATAATAGTAGTTAAATGTCCTAAATCACAAATTAGGATTTTACCTACCTTGTTGTCTTTCTATGAAGAGTATGGATTACCTTCCAAAAGCAACACCTTAACAATTCTCCTAATGCAACTATAAGCATTCCTTACACAAAATTTGATAAGAGGTTAACCTATGTGGTATGGAGACTTTAAAAACATAATAATAAACTGGTCCACAATAGAAGGAAATTCAGAAAATTTTATTTTATTGGCATTGAAATGTTGTGCAAAATAGTGAGATGGAGAGAAGTGATTGGGTTGTTGAAAAGAAGTTTGACTACTCTTGCCTGCAGCAAATCCAAACCCAAGTTCAAAAGTCAAAGTTGAAAAAACCATAGGGCAAGCAAGCACCACTTGCACTTTGCGTATCCAAACTCCCCCCCTCTCTCCAGTGGTTAAACTGCGTTGACTGAGATAAACTCCTCCCTTCAAAAAAAGCAATCCCTTGTTCCCATTATGCCCCCATCTAAATCCACAATTTCCACATTCATTTCTTCTCTCTTTACCAGACTGGGGGTGCATCTGTAAATTCAATTTTATGTTTGGACACAAAGTTGAAATTCCTGTGCTGGTACTGCCGCTGCTTTCCTCTCTTTACAAAATTTAGAAGCTTCTCTCTCCATCTCTCCAGAAACTCAAAAATTAGGGCTTCTTTTAAAACCTTAGCTCCTTGGTTTCTTGGTGCATTCCGTAAATATGAATTGAATTTTGGGCGAATTTTGGCGCATTTTGAGGCTTCATTTTCATTTTCTTTCCTTTTTGTTGGCTTTAAGAGTTTCTTTCCGGAACTGGAACGAAGGCTCCGAGGGAATATTGGGAGCTTCTCTGCCGTAGATGTAAACTCGACATGAATTTTGGGCAAATCTCCAGGTATTCCGATTCGGAGGCTCGAAGCTTTCTTTTTTATTAATTAGTTTGTCTTCCCAAAAAGCGTAGCTTTTTTTGGACACAAAATTAGGGTTTCAATCTCTGTATCTCTTATTGCTGTTATGATTTTTTTATTGCTTTCAGGAAAAGATTAGTGCTTTGACATACAAAAAATGAAGCGATTGAGGTCGAGCGACGATCTCGACTCTTACGAAAAAAATGCGAATAAAGAATCGAATCAGAATCGATCGTCATCTCATCGAACCAGCAGTAGCAGTGGTTTGTATTATAAACCATCCACAGCCTCCGAAAGCAACGCCCGCACCAAAAGCAATTTGATCTCATCTTCTTTGTCACGGTAATGAGATCCGATCGCTGGCATATGAAAGCGTGGCATGGAGAAGGCCAGGAGAGGAAAGGAGAGGCTGGTCCGGAAGCGATCAGAGCACGATTTTGAGATTCTGATAGGCGAAAAGTAGGGTTTGATCGGTACAGGAGGAGTGGTAGTAATAGTAGCAGCCAACATAGGTCGGAGAGCTTCTGCGGGCCTCGCAGGGATTTTCCTAAGGGATTCCGATCAGAAAGGGATCGCACTCGGCGTGACAGTGGGAGCGGGAGCTCGTGGCGCAGGTTTGGAATTGATGAGAATAGAGGGAGTAGTAAGGTGCAACTGAGGGAGGTTAGGGATGTGAAGTCACCAACGTGGTCGAGGGATTCTTTGGGGGCAGGGAGGTGGTTGGGGAAACAAGGGAGAGAGGATTTGAGGAGGAGGAGGAGGAGGAGGAGCTCAAAGTCTAAGTCTGAGTCAAGGTCGCCAACATTGTCAAGGGATTCAGGTAGTGAGCAGTCTAAGAGTATTGGTGGCGGCGGTGGTGGTGAACCTAAGAAGAGTGAGGAAACCAGTTGAGAGTGAGACTAGTAGTGAAATGGAGAAGGTGAGTTTGATCCTGAGCCTCAAGCTGAGACTGAGCCTGAATTGGCTACTGAGGGTGGGGTCGCAAATGAGGGGAAAGAGTGTAGTCATAGAGAAGTGGAGAATGAGCCTGGTGAGATGAATTCAACTGTGGAGGTTGTAGAGGAGGGAAATAAGGAGAATCGGGGAATGAAAAGAAAGATGAAGGGAAGGAAGATGATGAGTTGCAAGATTGTGGAAAGCGCTTGAATGGTGGAAGTAGTGGTAGTGGGGATAAGATGGATGATGTGGGTGGTGATGAATTTCGAAAGGAGGAAGAAGGTATCAAGGTTAGTGGTGAATGTGAGGAAAATAATAGTAAAGATGCAGTTGTGCAGAAGTCATCCTGTTTGGAAGGGAACTCTAAGGAGGACAAAGGGATCGATCTTGAGGTGCAGGTTGAGGAATGTGAGGCAGCAGAGTCTAATAAGGAAGTTGCAGTGGAAAATGGTGATCAAAACGTGAATATGGATGTGGTAGAGATAGGTTTGAGTCAGAATGTCAAGGATAAAGGGAAAGGTGTTGCTGTTGAATCCTCAAATGTTACTGATTCTGCAGAAAATAGTGTATGGATTGAAAGGGAATCAAAAAATGTGGAAGTTGATATGGAAGGGCCTAGTACCAGGGGTTTTGAGTTGTTCTCTTGCTCTCCTGTTAGGAGAGTGGAAAAGGCAGAGCAATCAGGTCTTGATAAGCCAAAAGATGAGAAACTGGCATTGGAGTCACTTGATCTTTCTCTTAGTTTGCCAAATGTGCTGTTGCCTATTGGTGCTCGAGATACAGATGCAGTTCCTGGCTCCCCTAGCCATGGAAGGAGTGGACAGTCCTTGACCAATACATTTCGTACCAACTCTGATGGGTTTACTGCATCCATGTCTTTTTCCGGTTCTCAGTCATTTTACCATAATCCAAGTTGCTCTTTGACTCAGAATTCCATGGATAACTATGAACAATCTGTTCACAGTCGCCCCATATATCAGGGAGTTGATCAACTTTCTCAAGGAGCATGGCAGTCTCAGAATGAGTCAAGGCATAAAGATGTTCCCATGTTTCAGAGAATTTTGATGAATGGAAATGTCTCTTTCAGTCAATCTCAAGCATTACAGGGTATTGCAAATAGTCCGGCTGTCCAAGCACAAAATATTCACTCTTTAGAAGGAAGCTCGAGGATGCCCAATGGACTTGAGAAGCAGTTAAGTTTTCATAAACAGAATGATGTCAGGTCTCCTTCGCAGAGTGTTGGATCTCATGAAATCGGTTCAAATTACAGCTTTGAGAAGAAGCGAGCCATGAGGGAGAAGCATGGTTTATATAGGAGCAGTAGCCTGAAAGAGCAAGAACAACTTCTGATAGGTGGAGCTGATTTTGTTGAGACAATAATAAGCAGGATGGTTTCTGAGCCTATCCATGTCATGGCTAGGAAGTTTCATGAAATGACAGGACAATCAATAGCATGTCTAAAAGAGAGCATTCGCGAGATTATGTTAAATGCAGAAAAGCATGGACAACTTCGTGCATCTCAGGAAGCCCTACGGAGCCGGTCTGATTTAACACTGGAAACACTGCTAAAATCACATCGGGCTCAATTGGAGATCTTGGTTGCGTTGAAAACTGGTCTGCCTGAGTATCTTCAGGTGGACAACAGTATTTCATCTTCTGATTTGGCTGAGATCTTTCTGAACTTAAGATGCAGAAACGTTATGTGTCGGAGTTCTGTGCCTGTGGATGAATGTGATTGCAAGGTTTGCTCAAAGAAGAATGGTTTTTGCAGTAATTGTATGTGTCTTGTGTGTTCAAAGTTTGACATGGCATCTAAAACTTGTAGTTGGGTTGGTTGTGATGTGTGTCTTCACTGGTGCCATGCGGATTGTGGATTAAGGGAATCCTATATTAGGAATGGACATAGTGCAGCTGAGATGCAGTTTCATTGTGTTGCCTGTGATCATCCTTCTGAGATGTTTGGCTTTGTAAAGGAGGTTTTTCAGAATTTTGCAAAGGAATGGACGCTTGAAACTTTTTCCAAGGAACTTGAATATGTCAAGAGGGTCTTCTCTGGCAGCAAAGATGTGAGAGGGAAACGCCTGCATGAAATTGTGAATCAAATGATTGTTAGATTGGCCAAAAAGTCTGACCTTTCTGAGGTTTATAGTCAGATAATGGGCTTCTTGACTGGTAAGTGTTTTTTCCCCCTAATGAGGAATTATGTTATTTTTTCTTAGGATAATTATTAACTTGGTTAAAAAGCTAATTAAGTTAAAATGTTACCATTAATTTTCAAATTAGTTATGTGTTTGCTCTTTCCCCCTCATATACAAATGCTTACTAGATGTAGTCTTGTTCCCTTTAGAATTTGTATAAACTTTTCCTGAACGTATGGGATTGATTTGAATTTTTCATTGCATATATGGTTTTGCTATATGCTATTCCAGATTTTAGTGGTTTATGGAAAGCTTAACCCTCATTCTTGTAAGAACTTGTTTCTACAAAGTTGTGCTTTATATTGTGTATGATATGCACGGTTGAGAACCTCTTACCTAATGACTCTATTTTGCATTCCCATTTGCTTTATATTGTGTATGGTGCGGGGGAGACATGAAATCTCCATTTGATGTGTTAATTTTTTGCTCTTTTGCAATGGCCCAACAAAAACATGGGGGTTCCAATTAACTGAACAGTTATTAATATTTTATCTTAACTGTGTTCATGATATATTTTATTTGTTATGATCTTTTATTTTGTTTGTGTAAATGGCACATTCTGACTGTCAACTAATAAATTTAATGGAAGAAAATTATAATAAATTGCACCTTAACAAGTGCCCTTGAGCACTTATTAGCAACATCCATCTAGAAAAGATATGAACCATATTGTTGTAGTTGTAAATCGCTCTGATTACTGCACTGGAATTCAACTATTATGGTATTAAAGGCCATTTGAACAATCCACTGAAATCTTCTGTTCTGAATGCAGACAGTGATTCTTCCAAGCCTAGTAACACCACTGTTTTGGCTGGAAAGGAACAAGGCAAAGGAATCAATGGGATAGCTGGGCCTAGTCAGGATGCTACATGGCTCAAATCTGTTTATTCAGATAAAGCTCCTCAACTGGAAAGTTCATCTAGCCTACTTCCTAGTTTCCATGTTGAACGAACTGACCGGCCTGACAAACACCGCTTGGAGTCAGAGTTGCAGAGGAGTGCACAAAAGCAATCATTTTTGCCTGAGCTGGAGAGCTTCGTAAGAATCAAACAGGAAGAGGCCAAAATGTACCAAACACGTGCTGATGATGCAAGAAGAGAAGCTGAAGGCCTGAAACGAATTGCAATGGCGAAGAATGAAAAGATTGAGGAAGAGTATATGAGTAGAATCACAAAATTACGCTTGGTTGAGGCGGAAGAAATGCGGAAACAGAAGTTAGAAGAATTCCAAGCTCTAGACAGAGCTTATAGGGAATACAATGGTATGAAGGCAAGAATGGAAGCCGATATTAAAGATCTTTTGTTGAAAATGGAAGCCACCAGACGAAACCTTGCCTTGTGATGCTAATTGACGCGTTCTTCACTTTTGTGCAGAACTGTTGTCTCAGGTTTATTTCATCGTAGTGCAGAAATTTGTTGTTCTATAATGTGTATACATTATATGATTCAAGGTTTCTGTAGTTTTTTTTATTATTAATTTGTAGTAGGCTTGCAATCTAGATTCTGTACCTCCTTCCCCAATGCTAACCAGAATATGTACAGGGATGCAACATCTCTTCATGTCTTGAACACCCATTTCATCGATGCTATCTGTGAGATAGGTTATAGATCATGTCTTTTCCTGCCTGAAGGTACATTGGTTGAATGTCATTTAAGCCTGCTTGTGTTGCTTGCAGGATAATCTGAGCAAAGCCGTAGGTCTTTATGACTAGTGTAAATCCCAGAGCACTCATGATTCCTTCGAATGGCACGATGAACCGATTTCCTGAGTTGTTAGCTCTATGATCTTTTTTAAGTTTCCTATTAATATGATTATAATAGATGTTAGGGTTTGTTTGTTTTGACGTAAAATAATTATTAATAAATATTTTTAAAATTTATGTTTGTTTAAAAAATAAAAAATTTATTTTAAATATAAAATATTTTACAAATTAATGAAAAAAATGACATTGATCAGAAAAAAAATAAATATTAATATTCATAAAATTTATATTTTTAGATTTAATATAAGAGTTTTTATTTTTGTTTTTTGAAAAATACCTTACGTTTCTCGAGATGGAAGACATACTTCAAAAAATAAAAACAAGAACTCTTATACTAAATCTAAGAATATAGATTTCATGCATATTAATATGTAATTTAAAATATTAAAAAATAAAAATTTATTAATATTTATTTTAAATTTTTTAATTTAAAATATTACTATTTAAATTATTCAATATTATAAAAATTAGAAAAAATTAACGAAATCATTTAATGTAATTAAATTTTTATTTATAAATTGAATAAATCTTACTAATAATTATAATAAAAAATATTTTAATGATTATCATACGAATACACATAAATATAGGTTTTGCATGTTTTACATAATTAATAAATATTAACATTTTTATAGTGTCATTGCAAAAAAATGATAAAATAATATTTTTTAAAAACGTAGAGTTTAAGTTAATTATAAACTAACCTTGTATAAGAGATCTAATTATATTGCACTAATCATTAAATAAAATTATCAAATATGAGCTTGTTTAACTGGTATTTATAAACACTGGTTAATTGGATCCAAAGAACTGAATCACTATAAGTTATTTTTCATCCAAAGTAAGATAATTTACCCAAAAAAAGCATTGGGTTCTGTATAAAGCAAAGGCAATAGAGGGTAAAATTGGTCCACACTCATATAGATGCAAAAGAGATAAAAGGCAGTTAATAGGATTTTTTACCAAGTTGACAGGTCATGCATCCATCTAATGTCGATTTTGTAGTGTTAGAGAGGTGAATAACACTTAAAAATATTTTAAAATCAACTTTTGAGCTTTGAAAAAATTTTATGAAATTAGAAGAGGAAGGCTTAAAACTTATCAAAGTTAAAAGACATTAAGTAAAAATAGGTAGAGAAGTCGACAAAACACAAATGTTTATAATAGTTTGATCTACTTGACATACATCCACTCCCTTAATCTCTCAATCAAAATTTTTAACTCGATTTCACTAAATCAATGAAATTAACAGTTTTCATCAAATTTTTACAAAGTAAACTTTTAACTCAAGTTCTAAACTTTTACAACAACCATTAAAGGATTTCGCGCACTTTAATCAATTAATAATCAATCAAGAGATAAAAAAGAAGATTGATTACAATTGATCACTTAATTGATCTAAGATGCACAAACTCAAACTCAAATAAATTTATGAAGGATTAAAGTAGAATACACTTGCAAAGAGAATGTGTTTGCTCTTTTTGGCTCTTTCTAAATTGCTTTTCTTCTATATTTTGATCATTGGAGATGCTTTTTATACTTGAAAAATAAATTCTGATCATTAGAAACAAAATTTGGTCGTTAGAAATAGTTTTAACTTTGTTCTAGTCATTATTTTGTCTTCTAGTACTTAAAATAAAAAAGGCAAGCAATTTTTGTTAATCGGTTAAAGACAGGCTTTAATCAGTTAAGCCTTCTCTAACTTATAATGTCTAGTAGATTTTTTCACTATATTAATTAGTTAAAGGAAACTCTAACTAAATAAAAACATTCTGTTTTAAAACATCTTCATACACTTCTTTTGGTTAACTTTCACTTAACTGATTAATACTCTTTTTAACTAATTAAAATGTGCTTCAATTGATTAAAAGATCTTAATTTGAATTTCTTCGTTTGGTTCCCTTTAATGATCACTATCATTGGAATTTGAATTTTGACACTTTTAGGTATTTCAAATTTGAGCTTTAACTGGCTTAATTGATTAACAATCTTCTTTGTTTTACTTTTATCACTTTCTTATCAGATAAACCTGATGTTAACTGATTAAAGCTTTTATATCTTGTTTTTATATAATGTCTAGGTTTATTTTAATTGAATAATCAGTTCATAATATTCTATTTTTACAAAATCCTTTCTTCTTTCTCTCTTTAACTGATTGATCCATCTTCTAAATGAGTAAATTTTTTGACAAGTCTTTAATAATCAAATTTAATAAGAATTAAACTTTATTCTACACTTTCAACTAAAGTTCGATAGCAAAGAATATTTTGTTATTATTAAAAATATTAAATTTATTTGTGAAATATTTTAACTTAAAGACTTTTTACTTAATAAGTTATGTTTCAATTAACAAAAGAACGCTTACATTAGGAAGAATTTCCATGCCAAAATTGTGGAACCTAAAGCTCCTTTAAGGTTAAAGTAAGACCAATTTAGTCGATGAAAAACAGACCACAGTACCAACCGAAGGTGTCAAACAACATCAAATATTTCTAGTTTTTCCCTTCTTTACTGTTGGCCTAATGTGAAAGTAAAATTCTTGTGCTTCAAGCCTAAAAAGAGGCTTGACCCAGGTCAGCTCTGGTAGCTGACTGCTGTGGGTCACAAGTTACCAGGCCATGGTATTTATCCATGCAACCTGGAAAATATTAGTCAAGAATATTTTTAATTACGGGTGTTTTGTGAAGCTTGGTGATGCAGGGCTAAATTTTAGAAAAGTACATGGAGGGGTTCTATTTTACAAATAGGAAACAAAAAGTCAATACCCCTCCGACTTTACATGACCAAATATCCGGGAAGAAAGGTCCACCATCAAAAAGCGAAGGATACAGAGAGAGGGAGGGGGAGGCAACAGGGAGGCAGAGGTTTCCAAGGAGAGGAAGGGGAAGAAAGCAGAAAGTCAGCACAGTTCACCTTCATCAATTGCCTCTCAACGAATCGCTGTTTTCAACTTGCTTGATCTCGTCATTCTTTATACAAAGATGGAGGCAACGGAACAATTAATGTGTCGACCAGTGGACGCATTTAACCCCTTGATCACAACAAGCTTTCAGGTTTCCTGCATTCTCGTTATTTCTCATATCTTTCACCTTCTCTTGAAACCCATTGGACAGCCAGGACCTGTTGCGCAACTTCTTGTAAGCCTTTCAAAATCTTTCTTGGAAAAATCTTAAAAGAATTCTTAAAAAAGGCAGCTACGCATATTTATACATGTTGTTGAAATGTCTTGTGTTGTATCAGGCTGGTGTTGTTGTAGGTCCCTCGTTTTTGTCCCGTATAGACAGAGTTGAAGAATTCTTCATACAGGCTTCTTCTGCAAAGTACTACCAGTTTTTCTCATTCATTTGTCGAATGCTTTTTATGTTCTCGATTGGGTTGGAAGCAGATATTCCTTATTTAAAGCGCAACTTTCGTGTTGTAAGTATCATTGCAGGAGGGGGTTCAATCCTGGCCTGCATCTTTGGTGGACCTCTCTTCTGGTTGCTCACCAAGGTATTCAGAGTCACTACCGAGCGATTTTCGTTTTACCTGCTTATCCTGACAGTCTTAGCAAATTCAGCCTCTCCTATCGTGTTTCGGTTGGTTGCAGAAACCAAGTCTGACACTGCTGATTTAGGACGATTGGCAATTTATTCTTCCTTGGTCAACGAAATGTCTTGTGTGGTAGTCGTTTGTACGCTAAAAGCATTCACCTCCTTCTCTAAATTTGGAGGTGCAATCCTTATTGTTCTTTTCACTCTGGTACTAATCATTGTGAACAAGTATCTGTCATACTTTTTCAACAGAAGGAACAGGAATAACAGATTCGTTACAAACAGCGAAGTTTTCATTATTATCTTTCTTCTTGTAAGTCTCTCTTTGTTTGTGGAATGGATTGGCTACACAGCTATAACCTGTTGTTTCCTGGTCGGCCTGATGTTCCCTAGAGAGGGTAAAACAGCTCGGACATTATTGCACAAACTCACTTATGCAGTAAATACCTTCATTCTTCCGGTGTACTTCGGCTACACAGGGTTCCAATTTGATCTAAGCACTCTTAATAACAAATTGGTTATTGCTCTCACTGTCCTCATGATCCTGGTGGGCGCTGGAACTAGAATTGCCGGCACCTTTGCTGCCTGTCATTACCTAAAGATCCCATGGAATGAGGCTCTGATCCTTGCTTTCTTACTCAACTTGAAAGGCAACTACGACCTTATACTCATTAGCACACCCCCACAACCCAAAGTAAGTAATCTTCTGATGTATGCATTTGCATTTTTACACGTCTATTATGCATATAGGTGGGAACAATAAGGTCGTTAGTCATATCACTGCAGGCTAATATCTGCGGCTATGTTTTACCCTGCAGTAAAGTTTAATCTAGAAATGATTCTAGGAATTCAAGTTGCAACTGAGTCTTTGTTATACACGAGTAGACAGCTTGCTGCTGACAAGAGGAAGAAAGTTTTATGCTAGCAAATTGGTCATTAAGCAGCCATATTTACTTTTGTCAATGCTGATTTTATGTTGTTAATTGTTGCAGATGGTCTGGGCTACAGATATTCACAATTTTCTTTTGACAGTAGTAGTCCTTGACACGTTGATCATAGGGCCAGGAGTTGCCATTTTATTAAACAGAGAAGAGTCTTGTGCTCAGTACCCTACCACACTCGAAATACTTAATCCAGAGAGTGAGCTCCGACTGTTGGCTTGTGTATATGTCCCACGCCATGTTTCAGGGCACGTTAGCCTCATCTCAGCATTAGGTGGCTGCCCAAATGCACCCATCAAGCCATACCTGGTGCATCTGGTGGAGCTTCCAAAGAAAAGAAAAAGCAAATTGATGTACCATCAACTGGAAGATGGTGATCAATTCAGCGATGAGGAAGAGTACGGTGGAAATGATGTGCTTGAGATCAATGATGCTGTTGACTCCTTCACAGTAGAGACCAAAATTTTGACCCACCAAAGTAAACTTGTATCCTCCTTTCTAACCATAAACGAAGACCTGTGCAATGGTGCCGAGGACTTGCGTGTGTCTATTATATTCCTCCCGTTTCACAAGCACCAAAGGATCGATGGAATAATGGAGAACAGCATGGAGGAAATAAGGACTATAAACCAGAAGGTAATTCGCCATGCCCCATGTTCAGTAGGAATCTTTGTTGACCGAGGACAAACTGGGTTCCAACAACCGCATGGCTCCCCGTCTATGCAAAACATAGTAACATTGTTCTTTGGTGGCCCTGATGATCGTGAGGCTTTAGCATGTAGCAAAAGGATTTCGATGCACAATCAAGTTAGTTTGACTGTCATCCGCTTCATACCTACATCGAGCGGACACAGTTCATGGATTAACGATGCATCCCACAAGGATGAGGAGGTCATCATGGCAATATCAAACGTGGGGACAGAGAACGAGATAGACAATGCCTTTGTGGAAACCTTTTATAACAGGTACACATATATACCACCCGTCAAAAACTTATAGATTTAACCTTTTTTGTACACCCTTTTCTTTCTGCAATTGGCTATGACACAAATAGTTTTTTGACTAGGTATGTGGCACAGGGTAAAGCTGGTTTCGTTGAGAAGTATGTGAGCGATGGGGTGGAGACAGTAGCTGCCCTAAGAGAAATTGCAGACATGTATTCATTGTTCATAGTTGGGAAGGGAGGGAGAGGGAATAGCCCCTTGACAACTGGTATGAGCGATTGGGAGGAGTGTCCAGAGCTTGGGTTGGTTGGGGATCTCTTGGCTTCTTCAGAAATGAACATTGGTGGTTCCATCTTGGTGATCCAACGACATCGGCACTCGGAGCCAGACAGAGGCGGAGGCCTCCTCGATGACTAATTACTGGTAATCTAGGAAATATACATACATGTAAAGTTATTTCTAGGTTAGCTGCCCTGCCAAGGGTTTCTGGTTTAATTAGCTTAAATGCAGATTGTACAAGTGTTAGATATGTTGCAAAAAAGAAGAAAAAAAGTTCAATTCCTCCAGAAAAGATTCTTAAAGTCACTGCTGCAGATATCAGAATGATCAAAACTTTCCGTTTTCTCATAAATGGGCCTGCAGGCTGCCTGCAGGTAGGAGGAGACTGCATTAATCATTCTGGGAAGCAAGTAGTAGAAAGATTAAGCTGGAGCTAGACTGTTTTCTTGGTAACTGCAAATGAACATGCACTGCACATTTCACTTACTACTACCAAGTTTTTTGCCTAAAAATTTCTTTGTGACAGAAACAAGGGAACATTTAAAGTTCCAAAACTCCTTTGTAGAAATTCTTGTGAGCAACCACAAGGCCACACTCACGAAAATTCAGATATTCAATCTCAAAATTGTGAACAAATAGGCAATCAGACCGTTTTCTTTTGTGTTTCCTGGCACAATTCACATGTACATTTAAACACCGTTTCATTTATTGGGCTTGAAATAGAACAAGCCTGAGAAAAGAATGTTCAACCCAAAATCATAAGATTGTTTTGATGAGTTTCCTTATCGAAAGAAAGCTGACAAACTACATGTTCATATTGACCATAATAAATACCTCAAGGTATGTACTGTTTTTTTCCTCAAACCACCATTGAACATTTCTAGTTACTATTACTCAATTAGTTAGCTGGGATTGAATTTTTTGAAAGGAGAAAGGGGAGACCTAGGAAGTTTCACATGTGGACCTGGAGGAAGGAAAAGATTGGAACACAAGTCAAAGTTTTGGGCCCATAAAATCCTATTTCTTCTTTTAGATGTCACTATCAGCTGGGCCTGGTTTGCACATGCAGATGCACCTCAACATCCTCCTCATTCCTGTAAACTGTCTGTAATCAATTTGTTTGAATTCATTACCAATTACTAGTATTTGGAAGAGTCAAATAAAAACCTCAACACTTTTAATTCATCCCATAAATTTGAAATCTTTGGCAATCAAAATTATCAAGGAAAGGATTGATGGATTGCCCTGTGTATGCTTGTTATTTTTTTCATGGAAACAAGAGAGTCTAATCATCAAGATTTACTTTTGAGAAAGCAATCCATCAATCATAATAGATTCTTTATTATTATAAACGGCTTATCTGCATAAGAGTTGTCTGCAACTTTAAGTTTTTTTTTTCCAATTCGTGCACAGAAAGAACAATCAGAGAAGGTGAGGTGACCCAGGTGGACTCAAAGTCACATGAAAAATGGACCCCCTGGCAATATTATGTGTTTTTTCTACCCATTGGGAGTAATGTGGGCATCAACCGCTCGAAATAATCGCCAAAAAAAAAGGATAGTTCAGACAGGCATAGTATATACTTTGGTTATCAAAATCTTGAATCAGGAATATGTTCCCGACATCTGCACATGGGGTTCATGTTGTTTGGACCACTGGGATTGCACATGTCCGTCCTGCTCCTGCAGCACTAGGATCCACACAATCTTCCAAACCATGGGGACACGCTACCCTTTCTTCTTTTTAACTTTGCAGGATTTTTTTTTTCGTTCAACTCTCAATGCTTATCCTTCTGGTCAATTATTCTGAAGCTGTTAGCTTGTTTCCAGCTATGTATAGGGGGATCGTAGATTGATATAATCAAGTTCAAATTCAAATTTCAATTCTCTGGTTCTATAGACAAGTTCAAATCAAATCTCAGTGCACTTTTAAGAACTTTGGGTGTGTCATGTGTGTCCGAAAAGTGGAAGCTAAAGTACGGGAAGTCAGCTTTTCGGTCGTAACTTGTACAGAACGAAATGGTGAGTAGTTGGATTTAGCAGATGAAACCAAATAATTTTCATTGCTTGAGACGAAATCTGACAGATCTTGGATAAGAACTTGGTATCAGATTAAAAAAAAAATTAATGGGATTTTCACTAGAAGATGAAATAGCGGATCCTAGCCTGTTAAACTTTTCTACAGTCTGGTTGCACCGACAGTTTCTTATCAGAGAAAAAGCAAAAAAATTGCAGATTTGCGTTTAAATGTCTAATTGCATTAAAGATATTAATGAAAGCCATTTCCTTGAGAGATACTTCCACAATCATAGCAAGAACATGTCTCCAACTTGTCTGTAACAAGAATGTGGATGGCATAACAGCATTGCCATAGTATTGATTAGTACTAAATGAGATCTCATCATAGTTCAGACGTAGGCATTCAGGAAATTAATTCTTAAAAAAATAAATTTTGTAACAGGAACTGAATTTGATCATAGAAAATGAAATGTCATTCCCATGAATTATGGAGAAGAACTCGGTTTCAACTGCTAATTGAGACAGGGAGACAAACCCACATTAGTGGATGCCCTTTTCCTTAACGCGATTTGTGCTAAAGATCCCCTTTTCCTTTCTCTTTCTTTCTGTCCCATTTTTCTAGTATATATTTAAGCACTTGAAACTTCATTTATATCCTCACGGCAAACCCTTTTCACCTCGCTTCTCTCCTTTGGCCCTCCTCTGGTTTCTGTTCGTTTTCCTTCTGCAAATGACAATGGCTACTTCATTCTTGCTTGTTTGTACCTTACTGGTCACTGGGTGTGCTTTAGGTCCTAAAACTTTTGTTTCAGCAAAGAGAGGTGTTAGACCTTATGGTTCAACAAAAATCGCTGCTAAACCTTTTGAAGGTAAGATTGTACTATGTTCTGATGCAGTATAAGAATAACATGTTTTTAGCTTCGTTGCTTTGCATATTTGCTTTGGTGGTGTTGATGCAAAGTCTGATCTGTGAGTTCATGCTGGTGCCTTTCTGTTCTTCATTCAGCATTCTCTCACTCTCTTGAGTCTTGACTCAGTCATGCAGCCATTGTACTCGATTGTTCTTGAGATAGATGTGCATTTTTGTTCTCTTTCCGCATCAAGAACTCACTTTTATTTACAAGAACAGCTGAAAGATTTCTACTTGAGCAATCTTCTTAAACCAAACTTTTCCCAATGTTGATATTTCCAGAGTAGTCAACTGTTCTTTTTCCTACTATAAACTTTTCGAAACTTGTTCTTTCTATTCCCAGATCATCTCTTTCATTTCATTTTTTTTCCCTCTTGTTCTGCTTCCTGCTTCAGGATACCTTGAAAATGGCAACTTTGAGGAACAGCCAAAACCAACAGACATCAAGAAAACAGTACTTCAAGGAAAATATGCACTTCCTAAATGGACCATCAGCGGTTTAGTCGAGTACATCACTGGGGGGCCGCAACCTGGTGGCATGTTTTTCCCCGTGGCTCACGGTGTCCATGCCGTGAAGCTTGGCAATGAGGCCTCAATTTCTCAAACCATACCAGTAAAACCCGGCACCCTTTATGCACTGACATTTGGTGCATCAAGAACTTGTGCACAAGATGAGGTGTTGAGAGTCTCAGTGCCTACCCAGTCAGGGGACCTCCCTTTGCAGACCTTGTACGGTAGCTATGGCGATGATGTTTATGCTTGGGGTTTTATAGCCAAATCCAAGTATATTACAGTAACATTCCACAACCCTGGCGTTCAAGAGGATCCCACCTGTGGTCCACTGTTGGATGCAGTTGCTATTAAGGAGCTTGTCCGTCCAATGCCTACAAGAGGTAATGATCAATAGCAAATGCTTTTGCTTATGCTTTTGCTTATACTTGAAATTTATTGATTTCTCAGATGTAGACAGATTGTGAATGTAAATATTACTGCATGTACTAATTGAAGTAGTAGTTTCAATCTATAGTCTCTGCCATTTCATCAGCATTTTTTGTTTACAACTTAAAGAAGGATGAATATTAGTTAAACTATTACCTAAAACTGATTAAAAAACAGAACAAACAGAAGAAACTGACATGGATGTATAGGAACCAAGACACTGCCTTCAAATTTCTGCATTTTCATCATGGCATTTCGCCTGGCTTTTGTAAATTTCAAAAGAGTAAAACCCCCGTCCCCATTTAATCAGTTTCTCCTTGCCATTTCTCCCTCACTCCCAACATACTGTAAAGTTTTCTCTGCACTGTTAAGCTCAACTTTACACTATTATTAAACATTGCAGGTAATCTGGTCAAGAACCCAGGCTTTGAAGAAGGTCCTCATCGCCTAGTAAACTCTACAAATGGTGTCTTACTCCCTCCTGGCCAGGAGGATTCAACATCCCCGCTGCCAGGCTGGATCATCGAATCACTTAAAGCTGTGAAGTTCATTGATTCAAAGCACTTCAACGTCCCTGCTGGAAAGGCTGCAGTTGAGCTTGTTGCAGGGAGAGAAAGTGCCATTGCCCAGATCCTCAGAACTGTCCCCAACCAATTATATGACCTAACGTTCATCATTGGAGATGCTCGGAATGGTTGCCACGGAGAAATGATGGTGGAGGCATTTGCTGACAAAAATACCGTCAAAGTTCCCTTCACATCTCGTGGAAAGGGTGAATTCAAGACTGCAAAGTTGAAGTTCAAAGCAGTTACAGCCAGGACAAGGATCATATTCTTCAGCTCTTACTACCACACAAGGATTAATGACTTTGGATCACTTTGCGGCCCTGTTCTGGATGAAGTTCGGGTTTCCCCTGTTGCTTAGATGCCTAGTTTTATCAGCACCATGGCTTTTAATTTAAGTAAAGGATTTTGCAACCGGATATTTGGTTTCACATTTGTATATTTTTAACCGTTGGTGAGGCACCCTTCCGGCTGTCTAAACCATAAGGAGAATACTGTGGCTAGTTGTCCTTTTTTTTCTTCCTTGTTCACCTTCATCTGTTGTCAGGATTCAGCATATGGATAATACACAAAACTATTTACTGGTAGTATTCTGTAGGCTTTCCAATTGCTCAAAGAGCAGCCATTAAGGTGGTAAATTCACAACCATATCCAGCAGGTGACTTTACCCCAGCTCCAGACTGGTAAGAACACATAGATTCACAGAAGGTCGAGATCAGCATCAAACAGAATTCTTCTTCCTGCACCAAGTAAAAAGAAGAATTGACTACATGGGTATTCTTGGTGGCATCCGCGACGAGGCCAAGTACAAAGAAGCGGTTTTTATAATCTGTTTCTGCCATCACTATCAACCAAAGTACTCACCAGAAATCGTTTCCTGTAAGAATCCCTGCGTTTACCCAAGCATGGTATCTGTTTAAAACACAGGTTAAGGGCTACCCCCATCATTTAAAAGACAGGGAAAATGCATCTTGTACTTTCACTGAGACACTTGGAGACCTTGTTCCAGGCACCATGTGAAACAAATACATCGGATATTGAGGGTAAGACCATCCTGGGTGATCAACCCAAAGCACAAATAATTTCGGAAAAAGAAAGATAATGAATTAAGATGTGCCCTCTTTCCCCACTGCTTTCTCGAGCATACAAACACCGGAGACAAATAATAGTCAAAATAGGTAAATAAACCTTCTATTTGACTGCCCTTTCAATCCTGAAACACAGATGAATCACGCAGTTGGCACATTACAATTTTCAAAGGAGTGTGACAAATTATATACCTGCGAGGTCAGGATGCTTTTGAGTAAGCTCAAGCAAGTCCATTTGACAGTTATGAAAATTATATACCTACCGCACCATTTTGATCGGTAGATGTTGGTGTATTTTCAAGTTCAAAAGTTACTTACGATGAAAAGCTATTTTAATTTAAAGATTATATTTGGTAAAGTGATATAATGTGTCTATAATCTAAGTTTTCATATGAATAATTATATTTTTTAGTAAAATGACATCTAAAATTTATGAAACATATTAAAAAGATACTCAAAAGTTAAGTATAAAAAATTATCTTTTCATAAGATGATTATTAAAATAATATTTTTATCTAAAAGATGTATTTTGTAAAATGAAAAGATGTCTTTTAGATAAAATGATGAAAGAGTTGTATCTTTGAAAAAAAAAAAAGAGTATTTTAAAACATCAAAGCAAACACAAAATTAAAAACAAAAATATCAAGAGTAAGAAAAATGTTATGTTTTAATAACATAAACATTTAAGTTTCTATCAACTATAAAAATTTCTAAATTCCTTTATAGTCTAGATGTCATTGTTGTCATTGTCCGTGCCTTTGAAGAAGAAAACTTCAAATTTTTTAAAGTAATTCAGGCAACAGTGATACAATCACAGCAGCTCTTTTACACCATCTATGATTACATATACGCAGAGAAATGTCACAAACTGAGGATACAAGAATTAGATTCATGCATGCTCAGCTCTTACTCCCGACAACATATCTAAGCCAAACCCACCATTTTCCCATAGTTACTGCCATTGGCAGTGCTTTGGCTTTCATGCACCTAACTAACTAGAAAGAAACAGTCAGGTCCCATAGCTTATTCATGCATGCTTTTTTTTATTTTTTTATTTTTAATTTTTATATAATATTATTATTTAAATACATTTTTAATATCATGTAATTTATTTTATTTTTATATTTTTATTTTTAATATAATTTCTTATATTTTATATTTTAATTTAATTTTTTTAAAAAAATAATATTTACACTCTAATATTTGACTTATTTATTGATATATGATCTTCTTGCTTAAAAGGTAAAGTTTGACAATTTTCTATGATTTATTACAAAATAAAAATAAAGATAAAATATCTTATTTTTTAAAATTTTAATTAAAATTTTAAATAATTTATTAATTTTTAAAATAAACATTTTGTTCTGAAAAAAATATCTCTGGTTGAATATATAGGTCCAAGTATTAATAAACTATTATTGTTTTTGTTAGTTTAATGATGTGATAATATTAAAATAATAATTTTAATTTTTATTATTTTTAAAAATTAATATTATATAATTTATATTAATTTTTATTAATTAAAAATATAGAAGAGCACGGCCGGTACTCCCTTCCTTTGGAGAGCATCCGTCTTTAAAAAAATATAATAATATTTTTTAAAAATTAATAAAAAAATATAATAATATTTTAAAAAAATTAATAAAAAATATTTTAATTTTTATATTATTTATTTATAATATTTATATTTTTAAATAAAACATTTATTTTAAAAACTAATCAATTTATTTAAAATTTAAAAAGTTGAATAGTTTACCTTAAAAATAAGCATATGCAATGTAATTACTGACTGTCGTGGAAGTAAAAGACACTCAACCCTGCCCTGTTGTGTCCCTCCCTTGACACTTGAAGATCTATGGGACACGGCTCCGATTCCCAAAGCCTCTTGTTTCTACTGACTGACTTCTCACCAAAACGCACGTTCACAAACTGCTTTTGGAATCTCCTCTGCCTCACGCCCGACCCTCTGTTAACTCTTTTAAGTCACTCCACACTCTAACAAAATCTATGTCATGTAAGAATATATAAACATTTTCATTTATGAAATAAAAATTATTAAAGTTTATACAATTTATTTTTAAATCTTGAATTCGAAATCTCAAAAATAATATTTCAAATTTTGGCAAAAGAAGATAGTATATTAATTATTGTCTTGTTTTTTAATAACAAAAAAAAAATCAATTGTAAGTAAACCTATAAAAATGTTTTGAGTTTGTGTAATTTCAAATTATTATTTCATTATTTTACAACTCTCCTCCACCATGCCTTTTTTTTTTAATATTACAATAATTATAGATGTAAAAAAAATAAAATTTTGTCGATAAAGATTAGGTGAAGCTGACTTATTTAACTATATTTATTTCTATTAAAGAACTTAGTACGAGAAATTAGGCAAGTTGACAAAAGCATTTAGCTTTTACCTAAAAATTTAAGATAAGAAGATAGTTAATAATGATAGCAAAAACTATAAATAGCAGCTATTTATGAATTAGGCACGGTGGGCAAGCATTCTAACTTTTTAAGGTTTCATCACATGCTATCATGTAGATGTGTAGCCCTTTTTCTCTGGACATTACTTCCGAGTGGCAGATACATGATTTTATATGAAGAGTGGTTACTAGTTAAAGAATAATTATATAAAGTTATAGATAAAAAGAATAAAAAGGTTTAGTATACATATAAAAAAGAAAAAAAGAAAGAAAGAAAAAATTTCAAAATAAAAAAGAATAAAAGGATTTAGTATAATTATAATGAAGAAAAAGAAGGAAAGAAATTTAATTCTAAAATCAAAAAGCATAAAAGGAAGAATGACAAAAAGAAAAAATAAAAAAAAATGGTTTAGTATACATGTAAAGGAGAAAAAAAAAGAAAAAGGAAAATGAAGGGAAAAAAAGAAAAAATAAAAAAATAAAAGGGTTTGGTATGAGAAAAAAATAAAAGGGTAAAAAGAAAAAAAATAAAAGAATAAAGAATAAAAGAGTTTAATATACTTATAAAGGAGAAAAAAAAGATAAAAACTAAAAAAATTTAAAAGATAAAAGGGTTTAGCATGACAGAAAAAAAAAATAAAAGAGTTTAGTATACATATAAAAGAGAAAAAAATAATTCTAAAATTTAAACCAGGAACGAACTGAACACTAATTTTGAAAGATAACTTAAGTTTTTTACATTACTCAAAACTAATTCATTTGATATATTAGAGAAGGCAATATTAGATCTTTTAAATTTCATACACATAAAAATAAAAATTGAGAGACGGCGGTAGTCACTTTTCTCCCTCCACCCCTTTTACTTCCCCACCCATTTTTTCTAATCAAAGTAATTAAATTTAAAATAAAAAATAGATATAAATGGAAAACAAATACTTAAAATACTTAAAACAATTTGAACTATGCTAATTTTTTCAATTAAATCTCTAATGTATTTTATTTAATCGAATCTTTAATTTTTGATTAACACTCAAATAATTTTTAACTTAAACAAAAAATTAATCATAATTAAAATGTTATTTTTTCAATTAGATCTCATCAATTATCATCAATCACATCAATTGTCTTGTGATCACGTCAACTTATTATGATAAAAGAATTTATATATATTTTTAAACCCAAATTATTTACTTTGTAAATATAATTATATATAACCCAACCAACCAACCCCATCATGACCTGTATTTCTTTTCTTTTTTCATTAACATTTTTGGGTCATTAATAATGAGTCGGGATTTGTCTTTGGACATTCAAACTTTTTTGTAGGGTTTGGCACAATAAATAGAGATTCAAAAGCACCCTAGAGACACATTATGTAGCCTATGGATTCATGAAAAACTATGTATATTATTCAAGTAGTCAGCAACATTAAATAAAATTCTACTAGTGTATCATTCATTTTAAGGAAAAAAAAAACCTTATTTTCCAATAAAAATGAGTAAGGTATTACTTAGTTTAGATCGAAATCAATTGAATGCTGTTAAGTTGGTTTAATTTGTTCGATTTTGATTTTAATTAATTATGTAGTTTGATTTATTATGTTGGAATATTTAAACAAATTAATCAAAAAATTAATCATTTAAACATATTATATAAATATTATTAATAAAATATATTAGTATTATCATTTTTATTAATCTATAAAAATTATTGATAAATTATCAGCATTATTATTAATAAAAATAATAAAATTAACAAAATCAACCGAATCATCAAACAAAACATGGATTTCAGTTATTTGGGTTCTAGAATATAATTTGACCAATTGGATAAAACTGAATTGATTAAATCGACAGAATACTTACGCTTAGCGGCAAGCATCATTTTGCCTAATCGATCCGTAATTGAAAGCAGCAATGGGGGACGGTAGAACCTGCTCTGGGTGCGTCAAAAGTTGGTGAAAGGTGACGGTAGGTACAGAAAAAGGTTGCATCCCGCCCTTGTATATATATGGGGTCGGGGCCTCCCAAGGAGCATTTCCATTGGAGATATTTAAACCAAGCATCCCTCTCTCCCTTCTCTTTCCACTCTCCCACCTGCTACTCTCTTAGCCTTTCGCTCTTTGCGTTGTTTCCCAACTTGTTTTCCCCTTTTATCTTTTCTCTCACTTTCTACATTTTCATCTGAAACTTGTTCTCTTGTCGACTTGCTTTGATTCTTGTTGAGGAACCCGAAAAGCTTTAATGGAATCTTAAATAACTTTGTTCTTCGTTTTCTTCTTTGTTCTTATTTTTAACAAAAGAAAGGCACAACTTTCATTTGTTGCGGGTGGAAGTGAGAATATGTCGAAGACTGGTGCATTGGATCTCGCCTCGGGTCTCGGTGGCAAGATTGAAAAAACCGATGTCCTTTCTGCTGTCGAAAAGTATATATTATTCATGGTTATACATAAAGTAAAAGAGAAATTGGCTTGAACACACTACAAAATGACTTTTTTTTAGACTAAGCTTCGACTTGGATGTCTTCCTCTTAATTAAAATGGTTTAATGTCTCTTTCCCACTCCGTGCATGGAGTGAGCTTTTTGCTTGATTTAGTCTTTTCTCTTACGTTAAGTTAATTTCTCTTTACCTATTCTTGATTTTTGGCTTATCATCTCCCTCTCGGATGACTTGAATTTCCAGATCAAGCTTACAGTTTCTCTACATTATCCCCTCACCGTAAAACTGAAAAAAAAACAACAGAAAAAAAAAAACCCTTCATTTCTACTACTTTTTATGTGTACACTAAGTTTAATCTCCATCTGTCAAATACAAGATTTCCAGTTTTGGGTAGTTGCTCTAACTATAATCCTCCCTTTTATATGGTGGGCAGGGGGGCTTAGTTAGGCTTGGCTAGCAATTAATGACAAAATAGGCAAAGCTATGCATATACCTATTCTCAACTAGACCATTGGCTGGTTTCTTAGAAATCGAACTGCATGTCCATGCATTATATGCATGATCACTTGAAGTTCTGTGTCTTAACTCTTGAAATTTATGCAACTGTTATTGAATTCTGTCATAAAAGATTATGTTAATGATTCAGGTATGAGAAATATCATGTCCTTTATGGAGGTAAGGAGGAAGCGAGAAAAGCCAACTACACTGACATGGTAAGGAGAGCTCTACTTTTACCAATCTTGCACTCAATGTACCCTTCTAACCTGCTGCCTTATTCCTTACTTTAGATCATTTCCAACTTTTGTTAAGAGTTATGATTATGTGCTTGTATGTTTGCTATTTCTTGCTTAATCTGCATTACTTGCAATGGCACGATTAGTTGTCAATTTCATCAGGCTATAAGATGGTGCTGGTACCTGCCATTTTGTCTTATTCCCTTACAGCTTTACGGGCTGATAAGCTTAAACTAGGACTTGATTGCGTATGCAAACATTAACATACCATGTATTGAATTCAGGTTAACAAGTACTATGATCTGGTTACCAGCTTTTATGAGTTTGGATGGGGGGAATCTTTCCATTTTGCGCCTAGGTATCCATTCTTTCTCTTCTGCCTAGTGTATGCAAGCAAGATGGTGCAGTTACTTTTTCAAGTCGTTGTTCATAATTATCCTAATTTGTTTTTACAGATGGAATGGGGAGTCTCTTCGCGAGAGCATAAAGCGGCATGAGCATTTTCTTGCTTTACAACTTGGCTTGAAGCCTGGACACAAGGTGCTTCCACTTCAGTAGATCACAGAGAAACTGCAATTCTAGGTTTGCTGTTTTCTGTTTGGTTTGAATTTTTTACTCACGCTTTAATTTTTATATTAGGTGTTGGATGTTGGATGTGGAATTGGTGGACCACTGAGAGAAATTGCTCGATTCAGGTAAAAGGCAGTTTGTTTTTGAACCTCCTTTGTTTCTTTCATCTTTTCTTTTTCATGTTGTATGGCCCTGTACTATTGCATGGTATCGTATTCTTTTGTATAAAATCATGATAAGGTTTTGGGTAGTTC